TCAGACTATGATTTGAAAGTGGGAGGGGAAACATGTTTTGCTTAATTCTAACCCTTCATGGAGGGCACGCGGTGTGCACATTGCTAAAATGTCTGCACATATTCAACGTTCTCAGAAGCTATATAGTCACTGAAAAGTCTCTCCTATTTTTAGCTGACATGAGGTTTGTTAGGAAACTTCTGTAACAATTTATTCAGTTTCTTGGGAGATAAATTCCCAGACTCTCCCAGAGTGTCCTGGATAGATTTCATCTTGCGGGCTGCCTGAAAACACAGGGAAAAAACAAACAAAACCATGAGTGAAAATTGGCTGTCGTAGGTCCATGGTTCCCAACATGCTCCAAAGCACACAACGATACTAACAAGTCTAAAGAGACCTGTGTCCCCTTCCCAGTTCCCTTTCATCAAAAGGGATTTGGGAACTACAAAAGACTGCACATTCTTAAACTACTAAACCAGGTAGCAATTACGTTTAAGCTGGAAATCAATCAGACTGCCTCTCACATAGCTTCACTATCCTTAGTTCTACTTCTGACAATAATGCCTATTTTGAGCAATTTAAATTTTACACGGCATTCTCCCATTCATCACCTATCGGACACAAAATGCTGTATTATTATCCTCGGTTCGCAAATGGTATAATTAAAACTCACAGCAGTGAAATAGGTTCTAGACCACACTGGCTTCAAAACGGTGGAAGAAGTAGCTCCCCAAAGTTTCCCCACCTTTCACAATGAGTGGGCCTTCCTACCATCTAAGAGCCAAACCCACTGCCAGTGAGCCCATTCCGATTCAAGATGACCTTACAGGACAGAACAGAAGCCCGCCCCCGCCCTTCAGATTTCGGGGACTAGAAATATTTAAGGAAGCCTCATCTTTTCCCGCGGAGCAGCTGGTAGGCTTGAACCACTGACTTTGGAGTTAGCTGTTCAATGTGACACCCACTACACTAGGATCTTCCCACTCTCCTCCCACGGGCAACCCCAGCAGGCTTCTGTCACCTCCGCCCGCGAAGCACAGTCAAAGAAGTCCTGGATCTCTTTTCTGCATGGGTCGTCGTGGAATTCATTCAGCTTCCAGCACGCCATCATCATCGACATCTCTGTGACACAGGTCGCCTCTGGAGGGGCGGTCGGGGGGATACCGCAAGACACTCTTACCTTCTCGCCCTCCCATTACCCCACCCCCTGCCCCCCTCCGGTCTCCGCTTCGGGGCCTCCCGGCGCGGGC